AAAGTCTGAGTAGCATCTGTATAATTTGCTCCAAGCGATGTTTTCAAAATTGCAACGAAAGAAATTTCTTGGCATGACTAATTATCTACCTGAAAGAATATTGATGCCATCAATGAATTCCACACGTGAACACATACAAGTCCTCTTTTTAAATGAAACTACTGCGGGTTAGAAAAAGATCTTCTATGTGGAGTAAAACGGTAAGAAATAACATTTAATTAAATTTAAAAGTCCTTTAACACGACACCACTCTTTAACATCATGAATTACCACAAAAAGGAAAAAAACACTGCAACACAAGGAAGGAAATGGAAACTATACTCCACTAAAACAACATATGAACTAAGACGAAGTTCACCTGTTTGATTCAGTTAACTTCCTTAATATGCCCCTGTAAATTTTTTCTGGATTCCAAATTCGGTTGCTGTACAGTAAATAAATACCTATTTACACGAAATAAATAAGTACACATTTGATTTTGTTGATTTTTTAAAAGTCCAGGGGCTGGTTTTCGATTCATCTTAAGGCAAATTTTATTACGATCTCATGACTATCATATTATGATATGTCATAGAATGTAAATCATAGCTGTCATAAGATAGTCGTACCAGGATGATCTAATGACAGTCAAAAGTGAAAATAAAAGAGAGTAAGTAAGAAAGGCTGCATGCAGAGACGGATTTTGTGTGAGAGTGCAGGGCCTTGCCCCCTATGGAGCCATATATATGGTTTATGTATAGACTTTTAGCATTTTGGTGCTATGTAAATGTGACCTGCAGGCACCTATCATTTTGCCTGCTATGACTGTAAATGGTATTATAAATATTTTCAAAAAACAGTAATTTTCAACGTAATACAAAGAGGATAATCAAAAGATAAAAACGGAATATCTGAAACCTTAAGTTAAAATTAAAGGACAAAAATGCATATTATAGAGACTGACAGACTGTATGATGTTAAGCACCAACTTAGTCACTTGGCATATAATGACATCGTCGATTTTAATCTGAATTTTTTGCCGGAATTAATATTACTTGTAAATCACAGCCTATTCTATTGATAATCAACATACCTTGCACTTCAATGCAATGAATTTATTGCAAATTATTTTACCGCATATACATGCTCAATTATGTTTCCTTTTAGATATTTAGATCTATCTTTTTGGTTGGGACTACGTTAACTTGCGTATACACTTTTCGTAGTGCAACGGTTTTGACGTTGGGTGACTGGCAGTAACCCTTCACATAAGCTTTTATCCTCGTGCGGACAACGTCACCAGTATTGCACAGGCTGATTTATCCGTATTAGGGCTGATTTGCTCATATCATTTAATAACAAGACGAATTATTCTTACTAATATTCATGATACTCAAGCTGTATTATCTGATAAAAAAATAATGTTAACTTTTTATTTTTAAATTGTAGAAGTGTCAGATAAGAATATCGTACTTTGACTTCTGTTCGACATGGACAGAAGCAGTCACGTCATCTCCTTTTTTTATCCACCTTTTAACAAAAAATCTATAACAAGTGGTTTAGCTCCCAGAAACCTTTACACTAATATTTCTGTAAAATGAATTATAGTGTTTCTTGTAAGTTCAGAAAGTCAATGCATATGAGCTTTCATGGCTATTTCATACTTCAAGATTTCCTAGTTAGTATGATTAACATTACATAGTCGTTTTATCCACTCCAGGTTAGGTTAAATTTATTGAGATATACACATACTAAGATTCTTAAATTCGTTGAACTATAAAAAAAAAAAACGATTATATATCAAGGTCTTGTCATACAAGGTGTCTCTAACGGGCTTATGGTGACTTTTTAGTCACTAGAAACGTTGTTTTGCTAAGTCATGTGACCTCTTTTGCACCTCACTGAGTCTGAAGATGTTATGTTATCGTATATTTTATCATTGATTAAACATACTTAAAAACTGTTAAAAAAAACTACCTCACACATTTGGGATTTAAAGATAATTATCAAAAGTACATTACCCGTTAAGCATAATAAACTTCGGAAGAGAAAATGAAATAAATAAATGTTTAAAAGGTCAACTAAGAAACACTGAAGTTGTAAAATAGACAAATGCCGGCAAGCAAGACTTATTGATATTGTTAGTGTATATAATTTATGCATGAAACGATCGTGAGACAGATGTTAAGTTAATAGGATAACATTGTGTCAACAGAAGTTAAGGGTAGGTCGTATTTATTATAATTGTACTAATTGTATAGATATTCTTTATACTCTGTGGTCATTAAATCAATCTCGATCGACCTTGTCGTCCTGAACATGCATGAAATATTTGCTACTGGATGTTAAACAACTAACAATCAATCAATCGAGTGACCTTAATAATATGATGGACTGTCAAGGTAAGAAACATATCAGCACAACGATCAAACTCAAAACAACACTTTGGTTTTTTTTTCTCTCTCGAATATTTAGGTACATACTTATAAGCTACAATTTAATATGTATAACATTTAATTTGTTCAGTGTTGACTATATGATTTTAGCTATACAATATAAGTAGTTTGTGTATAAATACTTAACCTATGTATATTTACTTGACATGTAAATCAAAAATATATCTTATCTAACGACATGTTAATATTTGTGTTAAATGTTTCTTTGGACCAAACATCCAAGGATGCAACTGTTTGTTTCCCAGTACCCCAAATGTTTGTTTGGGCCAAACATCTAAGGATGCATCTGTTTGTTTCCCAGTACCCCAAATGTCTGTTTGGACCAAGCATTCAATGAAGCATCTGTTTGTTTCCCAGTACCCAAAATGTTTGTTTGGACCAAGCATTCAATGAAGCATCTGTTTGTTTCCCAGTAGCCCAAATGTTTGTTTGGACCAAGCATCCAAGGAAGCATCTGTTTGTTTGCCAATAGCCCAAATGTTTGTTTAGACCAAGCATCCAAGGAAGCATGTTTTTCCCAATAGCCCAAATGTTTGTTTAGACCAAGCATCCAAGGAAGCAACTGTGTGTTTCCCAATAGCCCAAATGTTTGTTTGGACCAAGCATCCAAGGAAGCAACTGTTTGTTTCCCAATAGCCCAAATGTTTGTTTAGACCAAGCATCCAAGGAAGCATGTTTTTTCCCAATAGCCCAAATGTTTGTTTAGACCAAGCATCCAAGGAAGCAACTGTGTGTTTCCCAATAGCCCAAATGTTTGTTTGGACTATGCATCCAAGGAAGCAACTATTTGTTTCTCAGTAGCCCAAATGTTTGATGATCAATCGCTTACTTGGTACCAAACGCATAACGTTAATCTATTAAAACGACAATAACACGTTCAAAATACAATAAAAGTCCTTTAATTATCAACATTTTTCTCCAACCGGTTCACAACTTTGTGATATTATTATAAATGATAATGTAAATTTACATGATTATCCATGATTATCTAGAAGTTGTGAAACCGGTTAGAGAAAATGTTACAGTAGATAGTTTAAGGACTTTTAGTGCATTTCGAACTTTAATTTTTTGAAAATAATTATGGTTGCTTTTTTTTGTATTTACATTTAAATAAAGAATATTGAAAAACACAACCACTTCAATTGTACAATTTCAAAATATCAGAAATATCAATTTTGAAATAATACAAGACACTGGTACAAATATATATAGTATGAATTAATGTGTGAGCCCCTTTAATTTTGGTATTTAGAAAACTGTTTTTAATCATTAATATTTAATCATCAAACGGTTTGTTCATTATTGTTGCCGTCTTGACTTTCGGATCATTGTTTTATCGCCATAGTTGAATTTCGGATCATTGTTTTAGCGCCATAGTTGAATTTCGAATCATTGTTTTAGCGCCATAGTTGAATTTCGGATCATTGTTTTAGCGCCATAGTTGACTTTCGGATCATTGTTTCAGCGCCATAGATATGAACAAGGACTATAACCTTTACATGTTATCAAATCATACATCATTTAATTGATTGATTGATTATAGGCTGCTTAACGTCCAGTGGCAAATATTTCAGGCATATTCAGGACAAGAACAAATTAACAATGAATACAATAGGTAGGTCCTGTAATAGATGCCGTCCGGGATGAAAGTCTGGAAAATTTGGACTGCCACTGCAAAATGAGGGTATATTGGATAGGGACAGAATTTTTGCCTTGCGACAGGCCATCTGCGGATCCCTCAAAGAGTTGTTGCAAGGGTTCGTAACGTGCAGACAGCGTGACACTTTCTCTCTCTCTCTCTCTCTCTCTCTCTCTCTCTCTCTCTCTCTCTCTACGCGAGGCATCGGATTTAAAGTCCCCATTTTTACCGGACATGGCTGCTTACTTGTACATCCCGCACAGCCAAACGGACGCAAACTTTGGCAAGGGTTTGACTGCCTGTCGGAAGAAGACCAAGAGTGGCCATATTTCTATTCCCCGATCACCCTTTAAATCATTTAATTGAAAGAGATATCTACTTCTGTTTTGTTACTTTCTTTTCCATAAAATGTAAATTGAGCATATATTTTGCATTCAATACATACAAAATATATTGACTAAGGATAATTAATGCCTTGTCAGCGCATTTGGCTATATTACGGCAAAAAATCAATTTATTAAGATTTACTCGAAATCACGTTTGATTGACGGAATGACGGAAAAATATGTTTACTTGCCTAAAGCCTTACATAGACAAGAGTCAACTACTGCAGAAAGTTCAGTCCCACCACTGCACAATATAAAATATATAAAGTCAAGACTCGCATACATACACACCAAAAATCATGACGTCAAACGACAAAATAAGTACGTGTATTTAAAGTCTGTTGAAAATAGTCGTATTACCTTGCATTTAAATACGATAAATAAAGCCAAGTATAATTGTGGAACTTTTGTCCGTCTGATAATTTACATTTTATCTACATGTTACATTTTTAGTTTATTACTTGTAGCTTTAATTATAAGTTTAATTTGTACTTAAGCTATCATTATCCAATTAATTATTCATAGATTTAAAGGCTATCCATAATCCATAGATGTTCTAGTTTATTGATGGCAAAATGTAAATAATTGTCGGGTCTTATCGATGAATAAAACTATTTGTGGGACATTTTGTTGATTTACAACCTAAAAGCAATCAAATTATATTTGCTTCCGACTTAAGCGTCTTATTGATCCTGTGATATTAAACACGCCAAGTTAGGAATAAACCAAGCAAAATTAGTAATTACTCAGCTTGTAAGCGACAATGTAGTTTTGAAGAAACAGCAGCAACGGAAACGGCTTTTGAGAAACCTGGTAAGTTTTCATCATTTCTATCCACGTCTCTTATTGACATGATTATTAAGGTTGTGTATGTGCCATCTTATAGTTTATGATAAAACCGATGTAGATAATATATTTGTCTCGAGTGAACGTGTTCTTCATGAAATTTTAATTGAATTCTTGTATATTATCTGTAGACATCTTGAAGGTTAGTTCTAATATACTGTATTAGTCGTTGGAGTTGCAAATAAAATTGAGAATGGAAATGGGGAATGTGTCAAAGAGACAACAACCCGACCATAGAACAGACAACAGCAGAAGGTCACCAACAGGTCTTCAATGCAGCGAGAAATTCCAGCACCCGGAGGCGTCCTTCAGCTGGCCCCTAAACAAATATATATACTAGTTCAGTGATAATGAACGCCATACTAAACTCCAAATTGTACACAAGAAACTAAAATTAAAAATAATACAAGACTGACAAAGGCTAGAGGCTCCTGACTTGGGACAGGCGCAAAAATGCGGCGGGGTTAAACATGTTTATGAGATCTCAACCCTCCCCCTATACCTCTAGCCAATGTAGAAAAGTAAACGCATAACAATTCAGTTCAAGAGAAGTCCGAGTCTGATGTCAGAAGATGTAACCAAAGAAAATAAACAAAATGACAATAATACATAAATAACGACAGACTACTAGCAGTTAACTGACATGCCAGCTCCAGACTTCAATTAAACTGATTGAAAGATTATGTCTTCATCATATGAATATCAGGCACAATCCTTCCCGTTAGGGGTTTAGTATCATACCATCATAACATATATGAGAAGAACATAAACCGTGTCATGCCAACAAAAGTATACATTTTATTGTAAACTCGACGTCGTAAAATCAAAAGAAAATACCTGCATGTTTAATAGACGTTAACCGAATGTCTTCCCATATTTTGACTCAAACTTGATAGAAAGATGCATATTGTCACATTTAAAAACTAACTTTTGTCAAAAGAAAATCATCGAACTATGTCCATATTCTTAATGAAAACGACAGGTAGAGAGATAGATATACACACAGCGTTGTAAATTATAAGTAACCGTAAGTAATATCTATATGCTTCTAGACCAACACTTTTGGTTGTGTATTTCTTCAACAGTGAAATACTGAAGAATGACAGTTGTATTACTAACGGGATTAAGGTTACGTATGATACGATGATGATGGTGATGATGATGAATGGCTGTTTAACGTCTTATATAGCGGCGAATTAAGTGCATATTCAGAACGAGAACATGTTAATGTGATAGTGATTTGAACCCTGCTTTGTACTAGAACGACAAGCTGAACCGGATTTTTAACATGCTAGTTCACAAGGTAATACATGTATGTCTGCACCCTAATTACCCGAACACATCATTCAGACTCCGAGCCGACCAATATTTGCTCTTACGTGCTAAGCGGAGAAGCATTAAATACCAAATTTAAAGTCATTTATTTGACCCGGTTGGAGATAGAACACAAGCACGCTACCCCGAGACCAACGAGACAATTCCGCACGATATCACTGCAGTGGTATATACCAGCAAGGCGACAGCAGTAACTTGTGTATATCTAGCTGTGTTGTTCCATAATGACTTTGCCGAGTAAATACTCATGATCAAGTATATTGATTATACATTCTCCGATACCACTGCTGTCTTTTGTTATACTTAAGTTTAATGTTTCGTCATTAAATTTGGAAAATTAGATATTTTCTAGACTCAATCGTGTTACATAATGAATATTAGAACTCATAGATACCTTGATTAAAATTGTGTGCGCTAGAATGTTTTTTCGTCTGCAAAAGACTCACCAGTGCGCTCGAAACAAAAAAGTTTAAAATGTATGAAGACGAAGAGCATTGAGGACCCAAAATTTCAAAAGGTTTTTCCGATAGACACAAAATGTTGATTGAAGACAATAACCTGACCTCTTTTTTATGGGGGAAAAATTCAAGGGGGAAAATAGTTGTCAGTAGTTCTTCCTACTATTTTTCATATTCAACATTCCTTAATAATATGTCGTACATTATATTAAGATTGGAATCCATCGCGTGTATCTTACAATTAGATCCTACAATATTGTACTAACATAATTATACACCTTGATTTAGTTGTATTAATTATCGTAATATTATCTTACACCATAACAACAAGGAAAAAATAGGTTTATTTTCATTTGAAGTTAAGTTAGCTATTGCAACTTGCATAAATGATATATTTTACACTAGAGTGATTTAGATAAATGGAACATGTAAGGTGTCTATTTACACATACTTCTATATGTATAAATACATTTTATTCGTGTTTTAAAGTCATAAAACTTTAAAGTAACCTTCATACATGTATATCTGTATGTAACATCTTGATGTGTACGTTATACATGTTTTATAAGCGAATAATGCAGTATTTTTGATTTTTTACGGAGTAAAATTTTTAGATTCTTTAGATCTGAGTGGTCATGGGTCTCCGGGCACTTCAGTGGTAATGTTATTGTTTGACAAACATTTATAGACAGTTTATCAGAAATCGTTATCTCATTGCTGTAATATTGATTGATTTGTGTTTAACGCCATGATCATGACTCTTGTCAATATCATGGCGGCTGGTATTTGTTGGTGGAGGGAGCTGTAGTGCCAAGGTAGAACCATTCACCGGAAAAGGTTCAGGTCAAGTTCGAACCTGCGTTCGATTCCGAAGTTACTTGAATAGGATTGTCAGTTTTGCTGAAGGTCGATGGTTCTCTCTGGTTTCTCCATTTTCCTCCAACAATAAAAACTGGTCACAATGATATAGCCAAGAGTGCTGAATGTGGCGTAAAACATAACCAATCAATAAATCGTATTGCTATAATCTTAACCCTACATTTACAGATTTCAGATGTTTCCATTTTAACTTCATTACAATAAAAATTAATCATACTGACTGTGGTTACAATGTTTGATAATTGTTGGGATTTTAAGAGTTATAAAAATATTGAAACAGCAATCTTAACATTTGGTCATCCAATAAGTACCAAACTACAGTTCTTTGGTTTATTGGTTATTATACCCAAGGGTATCATCAGCTCAGTAGTTAGTGCTCCCGTACTGATATCATTTGTAATATACTATTCTAAAATTCCCCGTTGATAAATTCAAAAAATACGAAGAAACCTAGGTTCAAAGTCCCTCAGGCGGAGTCGACCTTAGGTGCATTAGGCTATTCTTTTCTAAATCCCCTTTGGTCATATAGCTCCTAACGTTTCTGCATTTTTACACATCTCTGGCTTTCAAATGATAAGTTTTGCGCTGTGCTAATGAAGGTACACACAGAAAACCGCCTCGGACGCACGAAATATAAAGTGTAGTTTTCACCAGGTATGACGTACGCTCACATTATAGTCCCTTGATAGTTTTTGATGTTACGTCGCTGCCTCATTGTCATTTAGCTCGAAATTTCGTTTATACTTATTGTTAGTAAGACATCTTTGTTTCATGGAATTCGATCTCAATTGACTTGGATTGTCAAGAGTTTGCTAACAAGTAAAATTGTGTTACATTCCTATTCTGTCTTGTTAGCCAGTAATCTTCTTCAATTAATTCGAATCTAGTCAAAACAAGCTAATTTTCAGACCTGAGTAGCACATTATCACATTTTGCCAGTTTATCAAACCATTATTTTCCTGACAGTATTGCGAAGAGTTCATGTACAGGATAAAAACATGAGAATTAAACAAGTTGTTGTTTTATGTACGACGTTTTGGATTTCAATGAACGTAATCTATGTTTTACTGGTAAATTATTAAGTCAGGGATTTCGTTACCACAAATTACTTAAAACCTTTACTAAATTCTTCCATAAATATAAAAATTTGGTTTTGAAGTTTGGTTGTACCTGTAGAAAACTTATTTCAAACGGGATAGCACATCCTAATTTTTACGGAGATGTTGTTTACCGAGCCCGGAAATTTAGATACGATCCGGGTAAACTTATCGATCTTTTAAATAAACTTATTCTTAAAAGGTTACCAATTCAACACTGTAATTAGATCTTTGAATATTGTTTTTATTGGTATTAATATTGATTTGGCTATCAGTAAATTAAAATCAAACTAAACATTTTTATATACATATGCACATCCATAGCTCTACAATCTGTCGATACCTTTATCTTGGCATTGCACAAGGTCGTGTTTTTCTCTGACTGTTAATGACGTCTTTAAACTAAATCCATTGGAAGTTGGATGTGCACGGATTGATATTTTAGTCTCAGATGCATGATTTTTTTATTAGTTGTTATTTGCTTTGAACTAGCTGTCAGTAACTGCGAGTACTCTCAGATCTGTACTTAGTGTCTTTTTGTTGTGGGGATGTATAAGTGCCCTGCCACGTCCACTCTGTGTTTTTGTTAGATGTATTTCTATTTGTATCCATCTGATGAGTTAAGCCTTTTTCAACTGATTTTTATAGTTTGTTCTTATGTTGTACCCATACACCACTGTCCCAGGTTAGGGGGAGGGTTGGGCGCCCGCTAACATGTCTTACCCCACCACATTCTGTATATGCCTGTCCCAAGTCAGGAGCATGTAATTTAGTGGTTGTCGTTTGTTTCTGTGTACATGTTGTATCATATTTGTTTTTCATTCATTAATTTGTACATAAATTAGGCCGTTAGTTTTCTCGTTTGAATGGTTTTACATTGTCATTTAGGGCCCTTTTATAGCTGACTATGCGGTATGGTTTTGCTCATTGTTGAAAGCCGTACGGAGACCTATAGTTGTTAATTTCTGTGTCATTTGGTCTCGTGTGGAGAGTTGTCTCTTTGGCAATCATACCACATCTTCTTATTTTTATATCTAATAATGCTTATTGTTATATATTTTCAGTTTCAACACTGACGTACACCATAAGAAGTAACATTGAAAATGTCTGCGGTAAATATAATTGTAATTGATCAAATGCACGTATATAATTAGAAGTTGGTACTGCTGTTATGAATATACGAATATCTAACAATATAGATGATATTTACCTATAATATCATAAACACCTTAGCACATGCTCCGTATCGCGTATCATATATCCATACCTTCAGGAATAACACCACTAATTCATAGCCCCCTTGCTTTCTGTGTTAAATTCTGCAAATTCAAGCATTCATAGCTACTTTGTCTTAAGTCTAAAGTGGTAGTCATTTCATGTCAAAAAAAAAGTAAAATAACAAAAATACCGAACTCCAAGGAAAATTCAAATCGGAAAGTCCCTTTTCAAATGGCCAAATGAAAAGCTCAAACACATCAAACGAATGGAAAACAACTGTCATATTCCTGACTATACCTTATCCTGACTTGTGCTGAAAAAATCAACATACCTTTAATTGCATATTAGAGCGCACAGGTTCCCGGAAGTTGGGTAGCACAAAACAGGTACTTCTGATCTGAGCAACAGGGCAAATATGCCCTCCTATTTTAATGACATATATTTTTTTACTATTCAAAATAAACTTTTAACAAGGGTTCTACAGGGATCTTAATTCCGTAAGTTTCATTTAATACCAAAATTACCAAGATATTTTACCTATTGACAAAGTTACAGCTATGCGTAGGAACTATTTTGTTTAAAATATGTACTTCTTTCTTGTATGTTCTTTCTGACCGGGCCGAATTAGTGGTATACCTTTAGGGAACATGCTATGGTCTCTGGTGGAAAGTTGTCTTATTGGAAATCATACTTCATCTCATATAGCTATTTATAAAAACTAATCAAAGATACCAGGCTTATAATTTTAATCCCATAAAGATTCAAAATGTAATGTTTTACAAATTAAGCGTGAAAATATCTCAAGAAATGAAAAAATTGAAAAAAATAAACCCACTGAATTAATCACTGCTTTTATTCAGTGGAAATATGTTAACTGTAATGTATCGTGCTTTTACCGACAAAATCCATGAACACTGTCATCACACAATTATAGTTCTTGTAATGACATGTAATTACGCATTTACAGTAACATGTATAGACGTCATTGAACAAATAGTATATATATTTCTAATTAATTGAGTTCCACATGTAGTTGATAAACAAATGTATTGACATTTTAGCTTATATGTAGATATATATTTGTGGTCGCATGTCGTATGAGTTTGACATCCAAAACGTACCCACTACTGATTTTATGACGAATGATCAATGATGAAATAAATTGTGCTTGTATTTCAATATTTGAGGAGTGCGACAATACTTTTTAGTTGTGTAAAATCTATAAATATTATTTTTGATGAACTTTAAAAATTTGATGAATTCTACTTCGAGTATCCTAATGGTGAGATCCAGGCGAAAAACTTTACCAGGTAAGTGTAGAAATAAAATAAACATGAGATGTGTCTTAGTTTTTGTGTCGTTGGACTATGTATCATTCACGCATATCCCGCATATAAAAATTATATAAGGATCTCAATAGTTTAGAATTTTAAAAGACATCTTTTTTAATTTGATGCCATTTCAGGAAGAGAGTAGCATACTACAGCGATATTCAGAGGCAAAAATCCGTGGTATGTTTTGTTTTTATTCTAAACAGTCGATAGCATTTATACCTTATTATAGATTGAGTTTACCAAAGTCGATGCATTTACAAATACATATATAGTCTTAATTTTAAAAAATCTTCATAAATAGTATGAATATATATAACTATATTACATTATATATCAATAGTTGTAATGACATACAGAAGAGGGTACTGTAATAGGAAATATGTCTGCAGTTTGCATAATTTCAAGTGGTATAATTGATTCTACACTCCGTTTGAAAAAGACCGGTCGAAGTGCTAGAAGTATAAATACAAAACATAAAATCCAGAAAACAAAAACCAAAATGAAAATGACACTACATAAGTTTGTTCCACCCGATATAACCTTCACCAGCAACGCTCAAACTACCAACCATCAAAAGTTATGCGATAGGGTGATCCCAATCTGTGAGGCACGACCTATTTCCCAAAACATTTTTTCCCTCACGGTGTGAAATTAAACCGAGTTTGATTTAATTATGGGAAATCTACAGCACTGTCTATGGTAAGAGAGAGTTTTGAACGCTTACAAACATGTTTAACTCCGCCATATTCCTTGTATACTTGTGCCAAGTCAGGAGTCTGTAATTCAGTGGTTGTCGTTGAAATATCTTGTGGAAATCTTAACGCATATGGAAAGGAAACAAATATGTAAACATTGAATTCTATTGCATGCGAATCCTACTCATGTTGTATATATACAACACTTTTAAGAGGATCGATTTCTTCATAATACAAAGACTCCATGAAGTGTCACTTGTGGTGATTACAGCATCTAAGAAATCAATATTGCTATTCCATCAGAAAATATTTATAGGATACAATATTTTAATTGAATTTCTCAAGCAAGGAGAATGTCGTCCCATGAGGATATTTTCCATCATATACTTTTACAAACACTCTATTCTCGCAATTTGGAAAGGCCAAAAAGTAAAGTTGTGTTTCCTGTCTCCCTACCTACCTCGTGCCAATACATTTTATGGACATTTTTTGGTTAAGCACCGCTAACTCATTTCACAAATAATCTTATGAGTAAAAATACTCTTTAAGTCATAAACATTTCAGTATAACTTACGATCAAATTTAGTTGCTGGAATATTGGAACAGCATGGTTTCAGACTGTATCATTTAATTTCAAATTACCACAAATATGGAAGTAATATTATTAAACTTCGATTAAATGTTATGGGCTTCGTTCAAGGCCTCATATCTGAGAAGTGTAGTTATAGATATTCTCGGAAATCAGAGCCCCATTTTGTTTTATAAAACATCCAAAAGAACTTTCAAAATCAATAATGTTCTAGTTAAAAACAATGGTGTACTTTTAACTCCAAATGGTCACGAATGTTTCTTTTTTTTTTTTTAACTTTTAGAATTACGAGAGGCATTTCGTCTGTTTGATAAAGATGGAGACGGATCCATAAGTACAGATGAACTAGGAACAGTTATGAGAAATCTGGGGCAATTCCCATCATCTGACGAAATATCACAAATGATTAAGGAAATAGATATTGATGGTATGTATGTCGATACATTATATATGTTTAATTTGAATTTCGTGTCAAAATATTTTTCTATTTCGTTTTTTTCGTCTCAAAATGTATTTCTATTTCGTTTTTTTTTTTTTTCGTCTTTTCTGTTTAGTATTCTCCCTACATATGCAGTTTGTTCCACTTCAAAGGTTCTTCTAGTTGTGAAAATTTCCTTGTTTCTCGATTGATTTTACTCTATACGCGTATGGTCCGGTTAATTAACACGATGAACATTGAAAAAGTGACCCATAAATTAAGAGATTCTAAAATTGAAATTTTTTACTTATTCAATCATATTGTAATGATTGTTACATGATAAATGAAATAAAGTAAATTTTATTTACACGTAGGAATTACAGTAAAATCATTTTAACATGGTCATTATTGATTTGTCCTGACATTTATTTATATATAGTTATTTAAAGTGTTCTTGCTCCTATGTGTACGATCTTACAAAAACAGAAACGTGTGAATAGGAGAAAAAAAAAACACAAAAATTAAATGAAAAAAAGTTGAGATAAGAAGAAATTTTGTTTCTGAAATAATCAAACACTAAGAAAAAAGAAAAAAAGGTTCATGCCCAAAACGGCTGTGGTTTCACTTGCAGTCGAAAAAGTCGACAAGACAAAATGCTCTAAATCGTGTCTAGCGAAGGCAAGATAACAGAAACACCAAGATTCAGACAATTTTTAAACATAAAGGAATTCAGTTAGTAACATATTTTTCGAGTTATCTTTATCTAAATGATAGGAATAACTCCTGTTTTTGTATTTGTCGATATGATGTAAATCTTGAATATAACATTTATTTTTAGTTCCATTAACTTAAGGATATTTACGCTTCAACTTTCTTTCAAAGTATTAATGACTTTCAAATTAGTAATGAACTGAACGCATCTTGGTTTTAAGACATTACTGTCTCTATTAACTGATCGGGAATTTAAATTCACTATTCGTTTAATATGATATCATTAGCTTAGAAGTCAGTACTTCGGTACTGACATGATTTATAACAAACCTTTCTAACATTGTCCAGTTATAAATTTAGAAATTATATAGAAACTACGTTTTCAACTCCCTCGGGCAAGGTTGGGCTTGCACGGAATTGGTTATCTTTTATGTACTTTCGTCATATAGCTCTTCAACTGTTTTGTTTTATTATACATCCTTGGCTTTCAAATTTTCAGCTTAGAGCGTTCCTGCCAGAAAAGCGCTTCGGATGCATGAAATTTATAAAGAGTTGTGTTCATTTTGAATTTATACTTTCAATCTGTAAAGCTGCCTTTGTGTTAAATATTTGTTAATAAATTTAGCGTTTCCTTTTCTTGTACCGGATTACCGTACAATATATATCAATGTAGTTTGACGGAAATTGCACTAATTGCCATGCACATTTATAAAAATGTATTATTCGTTGTTTTAATCCTATTGATAAAAATTGCATGTATTTTCTTTTGAAATTTTTCACAAGAGTTGTATTTCTTTGGACAAAGTTTCGTTGCACAGTCTCTGCCGAAAAATGTGTATTTCTTATTCTATTGTCTGATGATTGAATCTTGTTGTATAGAAAAAATATGTTTAAGAGGTATTAAATGATCATATAAACTTCTAATAATGATCGAGTTTGAGGTTTTAAAGAAAGACGTAGGGGCAAGGTTTCAACAACAGGTATTCATAATAGTCAATTGATTTTTTTGTCAGATTAAAAACGCAAGGTTCTTTAAAAGCAATGTGGATAGTTGAGCACTATTGCGATTTTATGAAATTCAATTTGTTTGAGAATGTTGAAGACGTTTACCATTATAACTCGTTATAAGTATGTTGATGGTAAGAAACAGGACTGACTGAAATCTGCAGCTATTATTAAAACAAGATAGCAATAGCTTATCGCCATTCGAAAAATATCAATGAACTAGAAATGTGATAATTTTTGCACACACACAAACACACATTTATATATATGGCCAATAAATAACACACTTACAGGTTCAGGATATTTTATTATTTAATTTTTCTAGTACGTCATGAGATTGTCGTCTTATGTACGTCTTAGTCATATCAAATTGGACGCTTTCTATTCAAATAAAGTAAATTGCACTAGTTTGAATGAAACTATTAAGGTAAACTCCTTTAAATGATCAAAAGAAGATATAAATATATATAATTCCTTTAAATGATCAAAAGAAGATATAAATATATATAATTCCTTTAAATGATCAAAAGAACATATAAATATATATAATTCCTTTAAATGATCAAAAGAAGATATAAATATATATAATTCCTTTAAATGATCAAAAGAAGATATAAATATATATAATTTACAAGCGGATTCAAACCTGATCTATAAATTCTTAAGAAACAACTTACGTCTTTCAACAGTTTTTGTTTAAAAATAAAACATACTAAATGGTGACGTTTATTATGATTTCAATATCTTTCATTATCAGATAATTCTGCTGAATTAACACTTTTATGTAAAGCTGTAATTTCCTTTGCATGTTTTGTCAATTAAGTAAAACTATTTTAATGTTATAATTCTATTTTGCTTGGTAAACCAATAAAGTGCATGGTACAAACAGTTCAGATTAGAAAGGTGATAGACGAGCCTTTATTTTATGAACGATAAGCTTCGGTTGGGCAATCGATAAATTTCAGATTTTTCAGATCATAACACAGAAACGAGTTCAAATAGCAATACATACCTGCATGCACCACACCATTGTCATAGGCTTATGCCATATACTTATCTAGACTTGTTTTTTGTTTCATAATAGGCGATGGGACGTTCAGTTTTGAAGAATTTGTACAAGTAATGGCCAACATGGGAGGTATCAGTGAACAATCAGAGGAGGATGAGGAAGAGGAACTCAGACAAGCATTTAGAGTAAGTCATGTGCTACAATATATAGAAGAAATCAGACAAGCCTTTAGAGTAAGTTATGTGCTACAATAGATAGAGGAACTCAGACTCGCCTTTAGAGTAAGTTATGTGCTACAATAGATAGAGGAACTCAGACAGAAGAACTCAGACTCGCCTTTAGAGTAAGTTATGTGCTACAGTAGATAGAGGAACTCAGACTCGCCTTTAGAGTAAGTTATGTGCTACAGTAGAAAGAGGAACTCAGACAAGCCTTTAGAGTAAGTCATGTGCTACAATAGATAAAAGAACTCGGACAAGCCTTTAGAGTAAGTTATGTGCTACAATAGATAGAGGAACTCAGACAAGCCTTTAGAGTAAGTTATGTGCTACAATAGATAGAGGAACTCAGACAAGCCTTTAGAGTAAGTTATGTGCTACAATAAATAGAGGAACCCAGACAAACCTTTAGAGTAAGTTATGTGCTACAATAGATAGAGGAACTCAGACAAGCCTTTTGAGTAAGTTATGTGCTACAATAAATAGAGGAACCCAGACAAACTTTTAGAGTAAGTTATGTGCTACAATAGATAGAGGAACTCAGACAAGCCTTTAGAGTAAGGCATGTGTTACAATAAATAGAGGAACTCAGACAGAGGAACTCAGACAAGCCTTTAGAGTAAGTTATGTGCTACAATAGATAAAAGAACTCGGACAAGCCTTTAGAGTAAGTCATGTGCTACAATAAATAGAGGAACCCAGACAAACCTTTAGAGTAAGGTATGTGCTACATTAGATAGAGGAACTCAAACAAGCCTTTAGAGTAAGTTGTGTGCTACAATAGATAGAGGAACTCAGACAGAGGAACTCAGACAAGCCTTTAGAGTAAGTTATGTGCTACAATAAATAGAGGAACCCAGACAAACCTTTAGAGTAAGTTATGTGCTACAATAGATAGAGGAACCCAGACAAGCCTTTAGAGTAAGTTATGTGCTACAATAAATAGAGGAACCCAGACAAACCTTTAGAGTAAGTTATGTGCTACAATAGATAAAGGAACTCAGACAAGCCTTTAGAGTAAGTTATGTGCTACAATAAATAGAGGAACCCAGACAAACCTTTAGAGTAAGTTATGTGCTACAATAGATAGAGGAACTCAGACAAGCCTTTAGAGTAAGTTATGTGCTACAATAAATAGAGGAACCCAGACAAACCTTTAGAGTAAGTTATGTGCTACAATAGATAGAGGAACTCAGACATAGGAACTCAAACAAGCCTTTAGAGTAAGTTATGTGCTACAATAAATAGAGGAACCCAGACAAACCTTTAGAGTAATTTATGTGCTACAATAGAAAGAGGAACTCAGACTCGCCTTTAGAGTAAGTTATGTGCTACAATAGACAGAGGAACTCAGACAAGCCTTTAGAGTAAGTTATATGCTACAATAGACAGAGGAACTCAGACAAGATTTAGAGTAAGTTATATGCTACAATAGATATAAAAATTAGAAGATGTGGTATGATTGCCAATGAGACAACTCTCCATCAGAAACCAAATGACATAGAAGTTAACAAATATTGTGTAAAACAATTCGAACGAGAAAAACTAACGGCTTGATTTATGTACAAAACAATGACGAAAAACAAAATGTGCTACATTGGGTATAGCTATATAGTAAACGTACAACACGGGTAATATGTCAAAGAATGTAAAATTTATAAGTTAAATATTTTATATTATAAGAAAGTTATAGAAGAATAATACTGCCTGCAATTACATGAAGTAAGTGACTAAAGATTTAGAGATTGTACATCTAATCAAGTGATGTCAATGAAAGAGAGGCATGTTTTTTTTAAGTTTTCATTTGGTTTTAAGGTTTTTGACAAATCTGGATGTGGTTACATTACGGCATCAGATCTCAGGGCAGTATTGCAATGCATCGGTGAAGATTTAACAGAGGATGAAAGTAAGTCATAAAATAAACTTTCAAGTTTTGCGATATTTTATGTCGTTGGGTTGCTGTCTCATTGATGTTTACTTCGTCTTCTATTCTATATCAAACAATTAAAATCTTAAAATCTTAAGATATAATGACATTCTTTTAATATATTTTATCAATTTAAAAAGAATTGTTGGTTACATTTAACAAAATGTGATAGTTTAGTTTAACTTGTTCATTAATAGATAGATGTAAAACTTAAATAAAAAAAATGGGTGTGAGTTTTTGTCGATTTTTGCGTGTGAGATAATTTCTTTCTATTCAAAACTTTATCAGTCAAAACAAATAAAAAAATCTCTCCTTATTGTGTTCTGGCTTGTCAGTTGAACTAAGATACCCTGAAAAGGCTTGTAGTTCCCTCTCTAACTAATATTATCATCTCTTACTAATAACACGTGACTAGCTGATCATGACAAGTAAAGGTATTGTTATAATATTATCCAGGAAAATGTCATGAACGAGAAATGAACTGGATTGAGACTACGACAAATTGAACATATCCAGTGTCGCTAACGACATTGATATCCCGGAAATGACTATTTCGTCATTGTAGTTTTTATGCGAAATATGCATTCTCAAAACACTTCAAACCTTCATTTGTTAGTTATGGTGTCCAACAGTGTTCACACAATTTATGAAAGGCAGTTCCCCGTGTATGTTGTTTTAGACAGCAGTGATACATGTACGGATAAAGAGGCTCAATCTGATTTATAGTAGTTTCTCTGTAATATTTGCTATTTTAGTTTTGTCTTATATTTCGTCGTAATGGTGTTGTCTATCCGACTTTTGTTTTTTCATTGTTCCGTCAAGATACATTTTTTTATCATGTCCCTATTCTGAAATTACCTTTGAAATGTATTATTTTATCATTAATAATTTTTGTTGTTATACAGTTGATGAAATGATTGCTGAAGTAGATATTGATGGAGATGGAAGAATAGATTTCGATGGTAAGCATTCAATTCATTCTAAAACATATATTTTGATAAACATTATATATTATTCTTTGACAACTAACATAATCATGTAAACAGTGTCGAAAATCGTTGAACGGTGAGGACGAAACAGTAGAATCCAAGTTAACAACTGCATAACTGCACAAAAATGTATTTACTGTAAAATTCTGAAAAATGATATATTTTTGTTTTAATACATAAAATTGAGAATGGAAATGGGGAATGTGTCAAAGAGACAACAACCCGACCAAAGAGCAGAAAACAGCCGAAGGCCACCAATAGGTCTTCAACACAGCGAGAAAATCCCGCACACGGAGGCGGGCTTCAGCTGGCCCCTAAACAAAAATGTGTACTAGTTCAATGAAAATGGACGTCACACTAAACTCCAAAACATATAAATGAACTAAAATTAAAAAAAACATACAAGACTAACAAAGGCCAGAGGCTCATGACTTGGGACAGGCGCAAAAATGCGGCAGGGTTAAACATGTTTTGTGAGATCTCAACCCTCCCCCTATACCTCTAGCCAATGTAGTATAAATAAACACACAGCAATACGCACAGTATAAAGCTACTTTTGTAACTCATGAATGTATTTTATTTCTCATTTCACTATGTTAGTTGAAATATAATAAACAAATTGATGAATCAAACACTTGTATTATGAAATACTAGCACATGTTTTTAAAGTCATATATATAACTGATAAATGTTTTACACAACAACAGTTTTAAAAACTATAACAAAAATACCGACCTCCGAGGCAAATTCAAAGTGGGGAAGTCCATAAAAACTGACAAAATCAAACGTCATCAATCTGAATCAACAGAACAAGTGAAAAAAGACTGCCATATTCCCGACTTGGTACAGGCATTTTCCGAAGAAAATGGTGGGCTAGACCTGGTTTTATAGCTAGCTAAAACTCCTCTTGTATGGGAGTAGTTTATAGTTCCGTTATATTCACAAAATTGAGAGAGCAACCCAAACAGACATAATAGGTTAATGTGACAATTATTGGGATCCAGCAGCCAAAACTGTGTAAACATATATCACAGACATGCAACACAAACTCGACTATTTTCAGTCTTCTTTTGTGAAACATTTATTAATCTAGCAGAAAGCATGGATACATTTTTTTTTAAAGAAAAGACAACTTTTATTATTCGAATACTCAGAACATTGATGGTAAAGGTGAAGGCATTCCTTCAAAGTATAACGGACGCCATCATGATTTTGTTAGCAGTCACGGATCTGTGTCACTGATGGCCATGGGTATGTTACAATCGTTGTGAGTTACAATCCCGTTTTTTTCATCGATTGTGACATCACCGAATTTTTACTTTTCATGCGCAAACAACGGGTTTCACTAGTGGAACAGATCTACATATCCTTCCTGAGCACCCTCGGTTTATGGTGGGGTTTGTATTGTTCAGTCTTTGATCTCAGGTGCACCCTCGGTTTATGGTGGGGTTTGTATTGTTCAGTCTTTATTCTCAGGTGCACCCTCGGTTTATGGTGGGGTTTGTATTGTTCAGTTTTTGGTCTCAGGTGCACCCTCGGTTAATGGCGGGGTTTGTATTGTTCAGTTTTTGGTCTCAGGTGCACCCTCGGTTAATGGCGGGGTTTGTATTGTTCAGTTTTTGGTCTCAGGTGTAGTGTTTTGTAGACTATTGTTCGTCTTTCCGTCGTTTTCTTTATGGTCATGGTTTTGTCCCATTTTCTTCGACTTTTGATTTGTGATTCTACTTTTTTTGGTATCTTTTGTCTTTTCCTTTTACATTAAATAGACATAAAATCGTATTCACACAAAACAAGGAATTTTCACGTGCGTTTTAAATTATCATCATTTTTTGTTATAAACGCAGCATATCTCGGAGCAATGCCTAGTCTGTGGTGAATCCAATTTTAGTGGAATTCGTGGTTTTTTGGTTAACGGATAAAAAAAACACAGTAACCGACTTTATCAATCACACGATTTAAGTGGTTTTATTTTCATTCAGAAATCGTCAGTGTTAGTCGAAGTGTCTGTTTTTTGTCTGTCAATTCAAAACTGTATCATTGTTAAACTATTCTATCTTCTCCGTTGAGTGCAGTCACAACTTGTTAGTTTTCGGAGCAATTTATGATTTTTATGATTTTTTTTTGTAGAATTCATTGCATGCATGTGTGAAGATGCACCACAGAAGTCAACAGCATGATTTTTCATATTGAGTACATTTAAATGCAATGAGTTTGGACATTGGTAGTGTCATCTAATAATAGTAGGACATTCAGCAATATAAAAGGATGACCGACTTCAGTAATACTTGTTTTTTTTATTATGTATTTAATAAATACTTACTTTCTCTTTATAAACGGTTAATATAAAATAATAAATATATACATGTACATCAGTTTTTGGTAAAATCTGCTATACTGAAACACAATCAAATAATTGTTTCTACAAATAACATTGCAGTGCCTCAAACAATCTATTGCAAAATAAACAGATGAAAGAACCTTAAAGAGAAAGCTTAAAACACATCATGCCTCTCAGAATCCACATGTGATATTCGTACAAGTTCCATATAAGAAAGAAAGGTCTCTTATATCAGATTGTTCTCTCATCCGGTGGTTTTAGATTGGTTGAAACTATCATACAAACCTAAAGAGGGTCTGAAAGGAAATACCGGCAACAAAAATTCTTATGGGATATTTTAACAAGTTTCCCTCTAGGAATAAAGGTTCTCAATTTCAGATTTTTTTAATATAAAACATAAAAAAGCCATCAAAGATACATGTACCAGGCTAACTCAACGGAGGTTTGATGAATGAAAACGTTCATGCAAATTTAAAAACTGTATGATGAAAAGAGATGCCAATATCCCGACGACCAGAACTTATATCGGATATTTTTACAGCCTCCTTTCCAAAAATGGTTCGCCATATCAGATTGTTTTTTAGTCGACCTTTATTAAAAGAGAAAATCTTCATTCAAATTTGAAGAGAATCCGACAAAAGAGCAAGCGCTTCCCCGGCGAAAAAAATATTATGGTACATGTTATATAAGTTCCACTTCAGGAAAATGTTTCTGAATATCTTACTTATCCGAGGTTATCATGCATGGAATCTTTCATACAAATTTGAATGGAATCAGATAAAAATTGAGGACACTATCCCGACGACCAGAACTTATATCGGATATTTTTACAGCCCCTTTCCCTAATAAATGGTTCCCCATTTAATATTTTCTTTCATACAAATTTGAAGGGTATCTAATGGAAAAAATGGAAGGCGCTATCCGGGTATATCGGGTATTGTTACAAGTCCTCCATGTCGAAAACATGTTCAGCATTTAAGATTTTTCTCATTATCGACCTCATCCATGGTTTCGTTGAGTGAAACCCGTCATTTAAATTTGGAGAGTATCCGACAAAAAATAAAGGTGCTAGTAAGGCGACAATAAAGTGAAAACGTTCTGACGGACGGTACGAAAACATTATACCTTATGTGGTAAACTAACTTTATAGGTTATAGGTTATCACAACAAAAGGCATTGTATTTCGTTACACCCACCATTGATAGACATTCCACAAAATCTAAAAAAAGATTTGACGAAAAACGTACTCTCCTATTTTATCCTCGCTTATATTAGATGGTTGATAGTTTTATATTTATCTGAACATATCAATCTAAACAATATCCTGCTTATCTAGTGAGACTTGCGGATGCACATACCATCGTATTATATATATGAAACTTGCCTGTACCAATGTCGGGGGTATAAGAGACAAAGGTAGTTGACTTGTGTGCAAATGTCGTAAATTTATCATGATTTCACAAACCAAGAGAAAAAATTAGGGAATCGCATGATCTCCAAACGATAGCGTCTCCTGCTTTGCATCCATACCTAGTCATAATGGCATTATAGGCATTATCCATTCGTTTGATGTGATTGAGCTTTTTATTTTGCCATTTGTTAAGGGACTTTCCGTTTTGAATTTTCCTAGGAGTTCGGAAGTTTTGTTATTTTACTTTTTACTGGTTGACTCTTCTATATTTCTGTGAAAAACAAATATAGCTAGCTAAACCCTTACACTTGTATGACAGTCTCAGAATTCAATTACATTGTCAACAATGAGTGAGCAAAACAAACAGACATAATAGGTAAATATGTCTAAAATTGGGGTACAGCAGTCAACATTGTGTTTTATAATCTTAATCACTATAAAAACAAACAACTACTTCAACAAAGAAGTTAGGTTTCAACTCCCTCAGGCAAAGTTGGCTTTAGATGGATTTGGCTATTTTTTAGGCCTTTTTAGGTTATATAGCTCTTCAACTGTATCGGTTCTTATACATCTTTTCAATTATTCGGCTTTGAGAGTTCCTTATAAAGGTAAATCCAGAAAAGCGCGCCGGACGCATAAAATTTATTACGTGTTTTCATTTTTTCATAACAAAACAGTTTACGAAAAATAAATATATATGACAGACTTGAACCAACGACAACCCCTGATTTACAGGCTCCTGACTTGGGACATGGGTTGTTCAACTATCTCATGTAAGATATAAAGTAGAAAAAAAACATGTTTGTGAAAGCGCACGTTATTTCAATTTATTTCAACAGAAAAAATCAAGTGCGTCAAGTTATTAACATATAGTTTATTTTTTTGTGCATTTTTTAACCGTTAAACAATTCAAAGGTCACATTATATAAGGAGCAAATGTTAAAGCAAAGGAAATTGGAAATAATTTTAGGTTAACAAAGTTGACATGTTGGATCTATGATAGGGTTGAAATGTCACATGTGAGTTGAGAACTTGGTAAACATGTAACGGTCAACCAAACTTAGGTGGTTACTTTCAGTCTTTCTACCTAATATATACCCGTGATTAAGTAGATTTGTAATTTCATTCGTTTAAACGGGCAGTGCATTAGAATGAAATAAATTTCTCCTGGGTGTTTTCATCATATGTAGCATAGAGGGCGTTAGGTTTTCCCGCTTCAAAATGATTTTCGCGGTATATTATTGCCTTTGTAATCATTCAGCACGACACCGTCAATCTGAGCAGTCGAATTTTCTTGGTACGCTGCCTATCTTGAATTTATAATGAACACAGATTCTCCAACATCACTTGAGGAATCTCTTGATGTTTCACAACAGAACATTTTCAGAGCTGTTAAACAACAAATAAAATTCCAACAGCAGCCCTTTCGAGAATCTCATCCCGGTTGGTATGCCGGTTTCCCGTTATATTCCAACATGCCCAGCACGAGCGGAAGTCAGCCTAAGTTTCAGCAAGGAGCCTGCTATGGTTGTGGATCTAACCAACATTTAAGGAATAGATGCCCATTCAACCCGAAAGCAGTCGATAGGCCAAAAATACGGAATAATTTCATATAAGATGAGTATTTAAATATTTCTATTGATAGCCAATCGAGTGCACACTTTCTTTCACACGACTATTCTGAATATGAACAAGGTCAGTCTAAAATTATCGTCAGAGGTAGATTAAAGAGACATTGATTGTTGGTATAACATTGGTTGTTATGATTTCATTACTGATACCATTTTACTTTACACACATATAAAATACATTTTTATTTTATACTACATGGCTTTCCGTTTGTTTACAAAACAATCGTTCTGCTATTACACACAGTGATTTTGTTTTTAGAAGCTATTGAAGTCTCGTATATAAAATACATTTTTATACTACACGGCGTTCCGTTTGTTTACAAAACAATCGTTCTGCTATTACACACAGTGATTTTGTTTTTAGAAGCTATTGAAGTCTCAAGATCTTTTGATTAGAGGACTTATTATTGAATCTACTGATGATAAACCATTGGTTGTAAATTCACTTGCTATCTCTGTTCAAAACAATGGTAATAAAAAGTTTAATTTTAGATATACGTCATGTCAATTTACATCTATGGAAGACACCTTTGTGAAATTTGAAGATATCATTGTAACTATGCAATCTATTAAACAGATTGTTATTGTTTTTAAGTTTGACATTCAGCTTATCACCATATAGACATATACGAGTCGCATTTTGATTATCTTGGGTTTTTTTACTGTACATATGATGAAAGTACAAAATATTTTATTCTTGTTCTCCCTTTTGGATAAAGTTCTGCCTGAAATATATATTTACTAAAGTTATCTGACCACTAATTTAGTCTAGAAATTTAGAGGTGAAGGTTTACAAATTCTCATGTATAGGTGATGGATTTGGCACCCTTTCTGATATTAGCACGTGTACAGATATTGCCACATAAGTTAAACAAGACCTTATTGTTTCAAAGTGGTTTTCTCGATGTGGTCTCCCAGTAATATTTAATATTAGTTCATTGATACATGTACAGACAAAGCTATCCTAAGCATACCAGTTAAGAGACTGACGAAACTGTTTGATACCATAATACAAGTTAAACTATCTTCAGAATATTTAGGTTATTAATAAGTTTATGTGAGAACTGTAGCTTCCGTTGGTCAGATTATATCCATGTCGTATGTCATAGGAATGTGGCTTATATTATGACTGAATACCTTAGTATTGATGTTAAGTCAGCTTATTCTTCGAAATCTAATGTTGGACTTTCGGTTCGAAGTAAAGAGCAGCTTATATTCTGGCTGGAAAATCTTAAATGTGTTAATTCCAAACATTTTGTATCCATTTTTTTCGTGTCGCACTATTGTTTATAGTGATGCTAGTGGCACTGGATATGGTGGATGTTCAGTAGAAAATCCTTAGAATATTGCTCATGGCATGTGGCATGAAAACGATGTACTCCACAATTCTACTTGAAAAGAACTTACGGCTGTTAAATGTGTATTGCTTTCTTTGATAGATTGTATGAGATAAACGCATTAAATGGTTTACGGATAACCAAAACGTTGTTTCTATTATTGTATATTAAAGGGCAGTATGAAGCCTTATTTGCAAGATATTGCATATGATATTTTTGTGACTTGTTTGAAGCACAACGTGTTCTTTAAGGTTGAATAGATACCTAGGGCACAGAATGAAATTGCAGACTATATAAGTCATATCATAAATACTGATGACTGCCGTACTGCAGTACATATTTTTGAATATTTGGATTCCCTGTTGGGGTCCTCATGAAATTGATTGGTTTGCTAGTGATCATAACCATCGATTACCTGTTTTTTACTCCAGGTATTGGAATGTACATTCAATGGGTATTGATGCGTTCATTGTCAATTGGCAAGTTATAAATGGGTGGTATGTTCCCCCAGTTTGCCTATTATTGAAAGTCATTATGTATACATGCAGCAGTGCAAGGCATATGGTACTGTTATTTTACCTTTGTGGAGATCGGCGTATTACTGGCCGTTTTTATGTCCCAAAGGAGATAGATTTATTGACCAGGTGATG